AAGCTGAGGAGAAAACAGTTTCCCATCTTTACTGGTTTCAGAAAAGCACACTTGTTCTRTTTAGGATAATAATGTCCACAGTACAAGGATGGTAGTTTTGTTCTGTGGAAGAGATCAGGATGATTGATTTGTCAGCTGACAGACAAAGCTTGTCTAAAGCTTGAGACTGTGGCTCATGAGAATAGCTGTATGAAGAGTTCTCTGATTTCTAGAGCAAAACTGAGTGCCTAGCTCTGCTCAGTTATCTACATTGTGGAGAAAAAAAAAAAAAAAAAAAAAAAAAAAAGCAAGTGAAAAACAAAAAAAGGAGGTTGGGGAGGAGGAAGTGGGGCTGAAACGACACAAAGAATCAGTTCTTAGATTCCAAAGATTGATTATCATCTGAAAGCAGTCATCAGAAATCCAGGTAATCACTATTGAATAAAGTATTTTTTTTAAAGCATTCAGGACCCTTTTTAAGGCCTTGTGTCCTGTCCTTGTTTTCAGCAAACAAAATCCAGGCTTAGTGCTAACATTCCAAAATGACATAGCTCACATCTCCCCGATAGTATGTGAGAATATAAATCAGTAATTACTAGACAGAAGGGAAAAAAGAATGTCCTTGGATATTCAGATAAATATAAGAAACCAATAAATTTTAATCCCCTGTAAAATGTCTCCTTAATGAGCATGCTTAATATTGTTTTAATATTTACCTTTTTAATATTTTTATAAGCTGATCCAATCAGCAGAAGTGGGAAAAAATCTGCTTCTGCTTTTTAACATAATCTTGCTTGTTCGTGGTGAGAGAGGAACATAGTGAAGAGAATTGCTTATTTTAATTAASGCAAGAAATAGAATATAAAGCTCTTTGTAGTTCTATTCACTTAAAAGAGAAAAAAAATCTTCAAATTAACATATCACAGAATTATCCGTCTGGACACAGCATGTTAAGTTTTACCTCCTGCATAAGACATGTTCAAGAGAGATGCTTTTGATGCAAAAGTCTTCATTGCCCATTCCTGCTCAGAAAACTCTAAGATATACCCCTTACTGCATTTGCAGATTCCTAGAAATCCTTTCTGATTTTTTTTTTAAGGGTGAAGAAAATCAATCTTCTATGTGTAACTTTCCAACTCTCCTTCAAAAATTAGTCCATGCTTACCGTTTATACAAAATCAAAGAAAGTAAAAATGAAATTAGTAATGTSGGCCTGAAATATTATCTGTGCATGTGCTAGACTCTGTACAATGAACTTCTGCAGTTAGTAGCTGCGATCAACACTATTTCATGAATCTCAAAACAAAAAAATTACTTCGATTATCTGATCTCACTCCTCTGGTAGAGACAACTAGAACTCAAGTATCCTGCAGTGACTGAGCACTCTGTATTGCCATCCTTATGCAAAAGTTTTGACAAAGTGAAGATGAACAAAAAAARTTAAATATTCTGCACTGGCAAAATGATCCATTTGCCACTACTGATGGTTTCATATAAATTGTCTGAAAGAGTCTCAGTCACAAAAGCATGTTTATACCAGATCATCACTCCACCACAGTGTTTTTGATCTGGAATTATGAGTCTTAAAACTGCCTTCAGTATATTGTCAATGCCTGTCTTCAGTTATTCTTTTATAAAAGTAAATAATAGTACTTTTCCCATCTCAGGTATTTTGTGAAATAAAAATACTATGGGATGCCATAAATCTCCTTTACATACACATAATACCACCTAACAGTGGTTGCACAAAGAAGAAAAATGTGTTCCACTACCACCTAAAGCTCCAGATTTTCTRCAGTTACCTTGCTATCTGCTATGAGCAGCATAACATGGAATTTTGGCTGGGGAAGGATTAATGTTCTTTACAGTAGTTAGATTTGTGCTGGATAAAAATGCCAGTAACTCAAGGATGTTTTTGTGACTGCTGAGTAGTGTTTAGATGTCATTGAGGTCTTTACTGCTCCTCACAGGACCCCATAAACAAGGTGCACAAGAACTTGGGAGGGGACGCAGTGGGGACCACTGACCCATGGAGTATTCCACACCATGGAATGGATATTCAATATACCATGGTGTCATGCTTAGCATATAAAACAGGGGGAAGAAGGAGGAAGGAMTTGGGATGTTGAGTGTGATGGTGTTTTTCTTCCCAAGTCAATGTTACTTGGGAAGAATGGAGCCCTGCTTTCCTGTGATGACTTAACATTTGCCTTTCATGGGAAATGAATTAATTCCTTGTCTTTCTTTGTTTGTGGGCATGGCTTTTACTTTACCTATTGAACTGTCCTTATCTCAGCTCATGAGTTTTCTTACTTTTACTTTTCCAGTTCTCTCCCCCTTCCCACTCTGAGAGTGAGTGAGTGACTGTGTGGGGCTTGGTTGCCAGCTGGGGATAAACCATGACAAGGCCAATCTACCAAAACGACAATTGCTGAAAATTAGATCATAACAAGCAATCTACTACCACAACTACTGGCAACTCCTATMCCACCTGTCTAGTGTTCACATACCATCATGCAGCTGGCAGAATCCAGAACACTGTGAAGACACCCTGACAGTGTGAGGAGAAAAACATGGTCATTGAAATTCATAACTTTTACTGAAAGTTTACCTATATCACACTGCACTGTTGGTGATTATATGAAGGAGTGGGGAAAAAAAAAAAAATCAGGTACCTGTTTGGTTCAGCATAAAGAAGCAAGAAAGAAGAAACTATCTCTGTTTTGAAAGTAGTCCAGGGTTCTGACCACTCTTGGAACAGGGGCTGGGACCAGTGAAACTGCTATCTGCAGTTCTTAAAACTTCCTTTGCAAGAGTTCTGTATGACAGCTTAGTCTTGTCCGTTGAGGTGAAATATAATATGAAGCAGTTCGCCTTCAAAACCTGAAAGGAAATTTTGAGATCTGATAGTATTAGATTGTTCCCATCTTCCATTGTCTGTCTTGCAAATTCTCCCATAAACAGAAGCTAGTTAATGCTGCAGATTTTGAATACATTAAAAAAATGCCATCCACTCTAAAGATTCAGAGCTGAGCCAGATGGCACAGCTGACTGCAGTGTATATGAGCCACTCTACTCCTACTGCTGTGAAAAGCAGAAACTGAAGCATCAGTGGATGAAGCTAGTTTACCAGGAATCTCTCTTGCAGCTTTGACCTCGGGCAGCCAMTGTCTTTAAGTGGTGAGACTATTGCACATAACTTTGAGTAAACACGTGATTAAGTTGTTTTATAAATACCAGGGAAGATAAACAGCAGTGAAGTAAGGACCTTGAACAAAGTGGAAAAAAAATGGAAGCAGAACATTGAAATGCTATGTTATTTCTTCTCTTTAACATGCGCAGGCATACAATAGTTCCTTCTGCACTAGGAATTCAATGTGCATGAGTCAGCCTGTCCGATATCAGCAATTACAGCTATAAATGCAGAGCTATTATGCACTCATGTTGTGTAGCTTGGGAGTAGTCTATTCTACCAGGAACAAAAAGGTCTTCAGCAGCTGCTCAGGGTTCTTAACCATTCTCAGGCAGCGAGCAGGCAGTCAACTGTGCAGCYTTACTTCACACAGCAGGGATACAGCCCCAGCACTCTGCTCTCTGAGAGGAACTCAGGGCTTTGTAGGAGAGACATTCTCTTGGACGCAGATGAAGTCCCAGCAACCTCCCATTTTCTTCAGCAGGAAATCTTTGCATATTTGTTCTCACAGCTTCCTCTCTGCAGTCATTCATTTACACTGATTTGTAGCCTTCCTCACCCTCCTCGTCCTCAATTTCCCCCCTCATTTTTTTCCTGGAGGCCTGAAAAACTTAAACATGGAAAGTACATGTTGGGGGAATTAACAACCTGGATTTTTTGCATTCTCAGCATAGATGGAAATGACCACGCAGATGCTGTCTGTGGCTGTTCTTTTGTGGTCCTGCTCAGGGTGCCTATGTCTGCTGGCGACCAGCCCCAAAGTAGTGTTATGTGAGAAACAAAACTCAAGAGTTCAYATGTAATAAATAAGATGATCCTGGAGAAACAGAATGACAGGCAAGGAAGGTGACATTCTAGTCCAGGCCAACAGGCTCAGTCCTGGACAGGGGCTGAGAACAGGGCCTAAGGCTGAGAAAGTTGAAGCTGCTCARCGTGGAGAAGATTGAGTGGAGATCTCAGAGCGACCTTCCAGTATCTGAAGAGGGCCTATAGGGAAGTCGGAGAAGAACTCTTTGTCAGGAAGACAAAAAGAAGTGATARGRCAAGGAGTAATGAGTACAAATTGAAGGAGTGGAAATCTAGCTAGGTATTAGGGAGAAAATTCGCAGTATGAGCAGCGGAGCCAGAGCTCTCTCTGTCACAAACGGGCCAGCAGGTGCTGTCACTCTTCCGTGCACCGCCACGGCCTCGCACATCAGAGCGGCACGCAGCCCTGCACGGCCCCTCACACCGCCGCTCCTGCGGACCGGGACCCGCCAAACCCCGCCGCTCAGCTCCCGTGCCTCAAACAAGCTCCCAGAGCGCCCTCATCCGCAGGGCGAGGGGAAGCGGCCGGGGGTCAGGAGGGGCCGGGCGGGGAGGGGACGGGAGGGCTGGCCGRACCCCACCGAGCGGTGCCGCCGCCTCAGCCCCGGTCCGGGCGGGAAGGAGGAGCCGCCTGAGGGAGGAGCCGTCCCGCCGCACCGCCTCCCGCCGTCATCCGCCGCTGGAGGTGAGGGAGCGCGGCAGTGCCGGCCGGGAGCGCCGGGGCGCCAGCTGGGTCCCCGCTCCGGCCTCGGCTGCTCGGCGGGGCGCCGGCGAGGGCACGCCCGGCAGCAGCGTTCCCGGTCCGGCGGCGGGCAGCACGGAGCCTGCCCTGCCCTGCCCCGCCCCGCCTTGCCCCGCCGTGTGTGCCCCGCCGCGGCGCGGGCGGCAGTGGCGTGCCCGGGGACTGCGGCGCGGGCTCTCCGGGTTTGTCTGGTTGTGTTTTTAGGGCTGTTCGGTTCGGCCCCACCGAGGAGGCCGGGAGGGRGGAAGGCGGGCGGCACGGGGCTGAGGCCGCGGGGCCCCCGAGCCGGGCCGGGGCAAGGGGTGAGCCGCACCGGGAGCGGCGGGTCCCTGTCCCYGCTGGGAGTCCCGCCGGCACCCGAGGCCTGAAGGACCGGCGGAAAACCTGTCTTATTCCTGTGCTCTCTCTCTGTCTCTCTGCATGTGCGTGTGTGTGTGTGTGTATGTGTTCGCTTTGGGAGGGGGGAGATTTTTCTGTGAACTTCCACGGACTTTTGAGTCTCTTAATTGTGGGATTCCAGCTTTTTAAGGAAAAGAGGCACCCAACAGCATGTGGGGGGACGGTGGGAGGTAGATTCCTGGGTGCCTGAGGCGCTGGCTATTCCGGGATTGAGCTCTGCTGCAGCTGAACGGGCTTTTCCAGGTGCGCGCAGCCCATCCCCGTGAGGTCCGGCTGAGCGCCGCAGGGTGAACGGGGCTGGACTGAGACGTTTCTGCCCCAGACGCYGTTTTTGCCAAGTAGAGTACGACAGCGGCAAAGTGTTTAAATAGTCAACTTACCTGTTAGCACCATAAAGTGACTTCTGTAAAGTAGCAATTTTTCTAATACCCTGCTTGAGTGATAAGAGGTTTTKGGGTTATCCTCTGCTACCCCACCTTTTCTCTTTAATGCTGCCTCTTAAAAGCTAAGCTATGGTGCTTGCTGTTGCTTTAGGAAAACTTGGTGCTGATGTTTTATCTCTCCCTAAGGAAATGTAAATATGCTTGTTTCATGTTGTTTCTAAAAGGATATTGCTTAACATGAAGAAACACGTTTGTGTTCCTTCTGTTTTATTAGAGTTAGGTATTTATGTAGATGTTTTGACACTGATATTTGGGTAATGTAAGGTGAGGAGGGCTTAAATCAAAATTAAAACCACAGAAATACTTCTTAAAATGAACCTAGCATAAGGAGTATTGAAATTTGTGAATATATGTTGTAGCACCCACTGGGCTTTTTTATGTAGCAATGTAAATTTATAGGATGTTTATCTCATCGTTTGTTATGGTGAGATGCTTTATAATGAAGTTCATTAAATTGTGTCTCAAAATTCTTCCATCTTCAAAGCAGAGAATACATATTCTGATGAATGCCTAATGTCGTTGTTACTCTGACTCTTCCAGAATATAAATAATACTTAATTTGTCACATCTCTTTCTCCATCCAAATACTTTCTCCTATCCGTTATTTAGGTTTTTTCCCTTATAGCTATTTCAAAACCGATTCAGAAAAACCAAAATTGAACACAAGTGCTCAAATCTCTTCTGTTCTTAAAGATCAGTGTCTAATAATTAATTTGTTGGGAGAAAATAAAACAGGATTGTAAAAATGTTCCTCTTACTATTTCTATTTTACTGTGTTACATATCTTCCTTGCATTCTTCATTTCCCCCAATTAGATAAAACAGGGAGTTGAAAAGCATGTTCTAAGTCTAGGAATTGATCCTTAAACCATTCAAAGCAGCAGGAGGTTTCTTTATCTAAGTTCATTGGGTACTAGTTAAGGGCTCTCTTTAGTTATTTATTTGGGTGTTCTTGATATTGGGACAATTGAAACATGTGCCTAAAAATAAGCATTTGGTCACATGTTTTACTGTAATTGGGTGTGTTTGCAGAATAGTGTTGATTTCTCTCTTTATTATCTAGTCTGTAGGGAGCTAGAAAATTTATTTTTTCACTTCTGATACCAGCAGAATGGGCTAGAAGCTATAAAAACTACTTTCTCTGTGGTCTTTTATTGTGCTTCATGTACTGCTGAAAATGTGCTTAGTGATTCTTGCAGTCCTGAACATACTGTACCTAATTTGTGTGTTTGTATTCTGTGTAACCAGGGCACATTAGGTGTGTTGGCATTCTTGGCTACTGTGGAGTAGATACTGGCAACAACTCTTCCTCGGGCAGCTGACTGTAAGGCCTCCCCTGTTCCCCCAGCTCACATTTGCTTTTAAGGGTAGATAAGAGCTGGCAAAGCTTCCATGCACTTTTCAGCACTCTGCACAAAACAGTGCTGTGCTAGCAATTGCTGAGAGTATGCCCCAAGATTTGTCTTACAGAGAGATTGAAGGATGTGTACTTGTTGGTTTGGACAGGTGCTCTCTCTGCTGATTAAAACAACTGGCTCGATGACCAGGCCCAGAGAGTGGTGGTAAATGGAGTTATATCCAATGGAGGCTGGTTACAAGTGTTCCCCAGGGCTCACTAATGGTGCCAGTTCTTTTAAAGGTTTTTATTGATGATCTGGATGAGTGGATTGAGTATACCCTCAGTAAGTTTGCAGATGACACCAAGTCGAATGGGAGTGTTGATCTGCTGGAGGGTAGGAAGGCTCTGCAGAGGGATCTGGACAGGCTGGATCAATGGGCAAGGCCAGTGGTATGGGGTTCAACATGCCAAGTGCCTGTCCTTGGGTCACAACAGCTCTATGAAGTGCTAGACGCTTGGGGCAGAGYGCCTGGATAGGGGTCCAACAGATAAGAGCCTGGGGGTGCTGGTCAACAGCAGCTGAACATGAGCCAGCTGTGGCCAAGAAGGCAAATGGYATCCTGGCCTGTACCAGCAATAGCGTGGCCAGCAGGACCAGAACATTGATTGTCCTCTGTACTCACTGGTGGTGAGGCCACACTTCAAATCCTGCATCCAGTTCTGGTCCCCTCACTGCAGGRCAGACATTGAGRTGCTGGAGTGTGTCCATAGAAGGGGAACAGAGATGGTGAAGGGTCAGGAGCACAAATCCTGTGAGGAGCAGCTGTGGGAATGGGGGTTGTTTAGCCTGGAGAACAGGAGGCTTAGGGGGGTGAAAAGAAGGCCAAAAGGAGCATGTAGCCAAGTGGGGGTGGTTCTGTTCTCCCAGGTAACAAGCAAAAAGGCAAGATGAAATGGCCTTATGCTGCACTGGGCAGCTAACAAGCAATAATGCAAGAGGAAATGGCCACAAGCTGCCCTAAGGGAGGTTTAGATAAGGTATGGGAAAAATTTCTTCCCTGGAAGGRTGGTCAGACAGTGGTGAAGAGTGCCTAAGGGAGTGACAGAATCRTTGTGCTTGGACGCATTTAGAAGATGTGTAGATAGTGGTTCAGATGTGGACCTGGCTCAGTCAGGTTAACAGCTGGACTCGGTGACCTTAAGTGTCTTTCTAACCTAAATGATCCTATGATTCTACTGCTGGTAATTATGTTATGCCATGCTCGAAATTTATATATTGTAGAAGCTAAAAAGCAAATGTCAGTGATCAGGCAAAATAAAATGTGCATTTAGGAGCATATTGATGAACAGTTGTGTATATGTTTTATTGATTAAAACCCCATAGTGCTTAATAACAAGCTCTACACACGTTAACTGCAATGGAATGCTTTTTAAAATTAAGTCTTTGCTGGCAGTACTAAGAAGGGATTGGGAAYGTGGTCTTCATGTCTTCTCTGCTCAGCCTCCTGCCATTCAGGGTCAGGTACAGCTTGGACCATTCCTCTTCTAARTGTAATTTGTATTTGAATCTCTTTTATACGTCATTGCTTGGTAGGGGCTCATACCATTGATATTCTAAATTTTATTTTCTCTGAATAGACCAAGTGTCTGATTTGTCATTTCAGATTCCAGCTATGATTATGTGGTCATGTGTCTTGTCTTATTCTTCACATTTGTACAGTCCCGAAAGAGCCTTTTTCCTCCTTTGTGAGAAAGAAACTTGCAGTCCTCCTTCATTGAACTGGAAATCCCATTTTTTTATGTTCCTGCTTCATTCTCCAGTTGCGACTAGAAAAGCATATCAACCTGTTGCAAGGTACAATTTACCATTTTATTGTTGTTTCCTCCTTGCAGTAAAACTGTTTCATTTGTAATCAGTGAAGTAGAGGAAGTTGTAGGTGTTGCAATTACCTTGTMTATTTTCACTACTGCATAGATGTGTGTGTGTTTTATATTTTGAAATTTGAGATTTTTAGAAACTAAGAGTAAGAATAAGCTTGCAGTAGTTTCTTCAATATGTCATGGCTATGATCTGCCTCATAATCAAAAACTAAGTTATTTTAAAAATTTTTTTGGTGCTCTGCATTTGCATAGTCMTAGGGTGTTTCTGTTGAGTAAAGCAGGTGCTGGGTGATGGCCATTTTATTAACTGTGTTAATTTTTGTTGCTAGTTCTTTTAGATTCATGTATTTYGTGGCTGCATGCTTCCTGCTCAGCCCCCTGTGTTTGGTACCCTTYGGTTTTTATGTGATCCTTTTTACTGCAGTATTTGAAATTCTGTAGATGGTGATGTACCTTTTAAAATGTCTCTTTGAGACCAGGGAGCACACACATTGCCCACCCTGGAGCCGAGGCACAGAGGCTGAAAGATTCATTCAGTGAATTCAGTGAATAAGAAGTGTGCAACTGCAGATCAAGACCCAGTGTTGGTAAGATGATTTTTATTKTTTCCTAAAGGATCACTGTGAATCATAAAACTCATCCTATGAAAAAAAGTATCAGACTTCTGGCATCAGGTTCCACTCAGTTCCTTGTGTCTTTGTGCAAACTTAGGAGTTGGCAGTATTTTGGCATGGGAAGATGTAAGTTGGAAAGTCTGTCTTGATGTCCTTTGATGGAGCTTTTTGTTTATTATCACAGTTATATTAAGCATGAACAAAAATACTAAGATCCTTTACAGAAATACTTAAAATCAATACCATTCAGTAGTAGAAATATAGGTGTAATCTGCAGCAGCTGACAGTTATTGAGTCGTGTTAACAACTCCAGAAATGCAACGGTGCCGTTTGAACTGAAGGAAACTGCTGCCATTTAAGATTGTAGCTTGTTGAGCAATGCAGTTTAATGAGATGCTGCCTGGAGCACCAGAGCTGACTAAAAGTGCTCCAATTATTATGGCAGATCGCCACTTTCCTGGCCAAGTTTGCACAACTGTTGGTAAGACTTTGTGATAACATCGGATCAGTGAACTGATCTGAATTAAGGATAACAGTTGCAAGAACAAAAGAAAGTGTGAAGGGCAGCTGTCTTTTAACTGGCCCTTTAACTGGCACAATTTGCAGGTTCAGCCCGAATTTTTGGGGCTGTGCTGTGGGAGGTGTACACGGCAGTGGACAGGCACAAGAGAAGAGGTCATGGAGTGAGACCTGATAGCTTCTCTTGTTCTTGAGATGATTGAGTATGTCAGATTGACTGTCGATGTTCTTGTAAACTAGTCAAGACAGAGAAATACGCTGCTTGATTTCCATTGCCTTCGCCACATCCCCAGCTTGAATCTCATTTTCTGTCCCCTTCAGGGCTTTTGCTTCTCGTTGTTGCTACTTTGTGGCAAAATTAACTATTTTTACTAYTCTGTAGCAGAGCCCATGGTCAAACCAGTGCCTGCCAAGGGAGTGAACGGGCTGGTTCCTCGGGCTGTACAAGAAATTCCCATCCTTCACTATCTGGGGAAGTAATTTGGTTTTTTTTTCTCCTGGTGAGTTTGTTTTCACAAGAAGTTCTTGGCCTGAGTGCCAGTATGAATCAGCTAAGTGCCAGAGGATACATCCACGCAGCTAGATGATAGTTTTACTATAGGGGAGTTACAGGCCAGTCAGTCTCACCTCTGTGCCCAGAAAAATCAGGGCAGAGATCGTCCTGGAAACTATGCTCAGGGACATGGAAAATAAGGATGTATTTGGTGCCAGCCAAGATGGCTTCACTGTAGTGCCAACCTGTACCTGAAAAATCTGATGGCCTTCTATAGCAAGGTTATAGTTTTGGTGGTTAAGAGCAACGAACACCACCTACGTAGGCTTACACAAAACATTTGCCACTGTTCCTTGTCCCTAAACTGGATAGACATGGATTTTTGATAGGTGGACCTGTTGTTTTATATGGAATTGGCTGGATGGTTGCACTGAAAGAGTTGTGGTTGATGGCTCAATGTCCAAGTGGAGAGCAGTCACAAGTGGTGTCCTCAGGGGTTGGTGTTGGTATTGGTTGACAGCCTTGTTGGTGACAGGGATAGTGGGGTRAAGTGYACYCTTAGCAAGCATGCTGACTACACCAGGCTGTGTGGTGTGATCAACATGCTGGGGGGRCAGGATGTCATCCAGTGAGACTGTGACAGGGTTGAGAACCTCATGTGAATCTCATATAGGTCAACGAGGCCAAGTTCTGCATGGGGATTGTGGCAATTTCAAGCACAAATAGAGGTTGGGAGGAGGATGGATCAAGAGCACCCCTGAGGAGAAGGGCTTGGGAGTGCTGGTGGATGAGAAGCTGGATGTGAYGTGCACTTGCAGCCCAGAGACCCAACCACATCCTGGGCTGCATCCAAAGCAGCGTGGGCAGCAGGGAGAGGGAGGGGATTGTGCCCCTCTGCTCTGCTCTGCTGAGACCCCACCTGGAACACTGCATCCAGCTCTGGGGTCCCAGCACAGGAGGGACAGGGACCTGTTGGAGACAGTCCAGAAGAGGGCCATGAAGATGGTGTGGGGGCTGGAACAACTCTCTGATGAAGGTGAGCTGAACAAGCTAGAGATGTTCAGCCTGCAAAAGAGAAGGTTCTGGAGAGACCTTAGAGCAGCCTTCCAATTGCAACCTAAGGAGAGCCTGCAAGAGAGCTGGTGAGTGTCATGTGGGGAACATAGGACAAGGGGAATGGCTTTGAACTGAACAAGTGTAGATTTAGATTAGGTATTATAAATATATACTGTAGGAGTGGTGAGACACTGGAACAGGTTGCTTAGAGAAATAGTGGATGCTCTGTCCCTGAAAAGGTTGGATGGGGCTTTGAGCACCCTGGTTCGGTGGAAGGTATCCCTGCCTGTGGCTAGCGGGATTGGAACTAGATGATCTTTAAGAATCCTTTCAATCCAAACCGTTCTGTGATTCTGTGATTAATTGTAGCAGGGGTGTGCCTCTCATTCTCCAGGTTTCAGTGTATCTATTCCCAAYTGCAGCAGCTGGGGAAGCCGGGAGAAACCAGCTGTGGCAACCTGATGGAAATTCCAGGTCTGCTCTGGGGTTGGTAACCCATGCTGGCCTCTGCTCTGTGTCTGCAGCTCTTGCTGACTGGCATGTGTAGAAAAGTTCCCTAGTGCTGGAATGGCAATGCCATTTAGTTGTGTAAACTCTTATGAAGTCTCCTGCCGTAAGCCACTGGACCATGAGATCTGCAGTTTGCTCTTGTATTCATTACAAACTGTTGTTTCTTCCCCAGATCTAAAATTGATTTTTTTTTCCAGTTCATGAAGAGGCCTAACTGAATGAAATAGTACAGCTCAAACTGTGGTTTGCACATTACTAATGTCAGTCATAAGGTCACAGGCTGTATATCAATTGGCCTTTTGTTAGTTTAGTGAACCTTTCTGCTGGTCTCTGAGTGATTTGGAGAACAGTTTGCAATCTGCTGGCTTACAAAATTTGGGAAATGTGGTTTTTTTGTTTGCCTTTTTTTCCCCAAGCAAACTCAGTTACTGGTAAAACATTCTAAACTCTCATGAGCCAGAAAAATTGGAAGAAGCCAGGTTTTTATTAGTATAGTTTAAAAATCCATTGCAGCCACTGTTTTTGCCTGTCTCAAATTAAAAGATTAATGAAAATACTTTGTGTTAGGAGAATAGTTGTCATGGTTATATACCTTCTCTACCCCAAGCAGCAAAGTTTATTAAAGGTGTTTATTAAAGTATTATTGAAAAGGAGCTGAGAAATTTGTGGTTCTCCCATTAGAGCTGTATGGAAARTCTTCAAAGGATGACTGAGCTAAAGAGTAAGATTCTGGGATTCGCTGGTTGCTGCTAAGATAACTTTCTAGTGTCTGCAGAGGATCTTCCCTTTTATACCTTGGTCTTAATGTGCCAAGGCTTTTTCCATCGAGGCCATGGTCAGRTTTAGTGTGGCAAGGAGTACTACATGGCATCAAAACCCTCTTGGATAAGAACACTGAACTTTATTTTCTGTAGTGGTGTCTGAGCTAAGTTTTTTGGGTCAATTTATTACTTAAAATTGCTTCAGTTCAAGTTTGGTATTCAGAACTCTGTCAAGGGATGTGTCAGCAATGTCATGGTCCTTTGTCTTTAGTGTCTGTTTCTCTTGCTCTAGGATCTTACAGATTCAAGAGGACTTGTGTACTGGTTTGTCTGAATATAAAAATATTTCTGTATGCATAATTCTGAGAAAACTGCTAAGAAAATATGTAGCTCTATTCAGACTTTTTCTTCAGTATGTTTGCTGACCCTATTAAAATAGGTTTATCTGAGGCTGAAAATTTATCTCCTAGGTTGTTAGAGAGGATGCCATGCAGTGCAGTCTTTTGGGGTATGGGTCAAAGTAAAGATCACTATACCTTTACTCTCTTCATAGTGCAATACATAACCAGCAGATCCACACCTGCATGTGCTGATTGTGTTTCACCTGCTCTGTATTTCTTTGTGGTATGTTTTATGGGAAAGGTTCTTCACAGAGCAGAGGGGATGGTCTGGTGTGGAGATTGCCTCTTACTGAGCCAACCTGGCTTCAGGTTGCAGGTCACCAGGCTGCAGAGAGATTCAGTGATGTTTGTGTGGATATACAAGTAGCGTTTCAAAGAAAAAGGCTCGTATCACTTACTGTGCATGAAGGAGCACACCCTTACAACAAAATTGAGTACCCAGTGTCTGCCACTTGTGCCTTTGCTTGATTTTGAGTAATGTAGAAATTAGTATGGATAACTGTATAAGGWATGTGACAGTGCCTGAAATGCTGGCACACACAGAAGCCCTTGAAGGACTGGTGCTTTAGCCCTTTACACTCCACTCAGCTTTGAAGAAAAGAAACTTGTCATTTTCTGAGTGGTAATGGAAGCTCCTGGGAGGGAAGAGAGATGTCCACCAAGTTTAGTCACTTTGTTCAACATGAAAACAAAGGAAGTATTGTGCAGAGCTTTCTGGCTAGAAAACAGTAAACCTTCTCATGGGAGTCCACAGTTTCTGGTTTTGTTTTTAGTACAAACATGGTGATGTAACAAGTCATCTTGTTAAATAGTGATACTTGTATGTTTAATGTTATCAGTTTTTGTTTACACTGTAAACTTTTTTTTGCCAGCTATTCGCAGATTGCTATAGCAGGACTCTTAAGTACTGGAATGTAAASAACATTATTGTTTATTTCTCAGGGGCAATAGAAATCTAAATTGGAAACTTACTTTGCTTAGAGCCTTTGCTGGTCTTTCCACCAGAAACAGTTTGAAACTACTGAGAATGTGGCTGATTAAGGGTCATAGTCTTTCACAGTCACTTTTTCTGTGGGTGTCAGACTTCTGAAATYTGTGGTGCTGATTGCACACAGAGATACAATACTTCTGGGACTGCTTTAATCTTCAGGCCTGCCAGTGTGGTGATTCTTACTGTATGCAGAAAGCAGAGGTGTCATTGTTAAAGAGGCATCTGTTTTCTAGGCAGAAAAA